ATTAAATATAAGTAGGCCAACTTGACTGCGTTTAATTAAGGTAGTTATGCTAAAAAATTTCTTTTTAAAAAGTAATTTAAAAAATATATATTTTTGGGTTCTAGTTTATTATTTATTTCTTAAAAAAAAACAAAATATACCATAAAACAAAATCCATGTAGTAGCTTCTAGACTTCTATAAAATTGTCATTTTTAGCCATATTTCGTTAATTTTCGACAAAAATATACCGTGTTATATATCAAACAAAAGGATTTTTAATTGTCTTTTAAATGATAGCTAAAATAGTAAACAATCTAAATAATGTTTTGCTGTATCATGCACTTTATATTTTTTCTATTATGAGATTTTTTAGTAACAATAACATTACAATTATTGTTAGTTATTAACAGTTACTAAAATGTTATTTTTTTTTCAAAATATAAATATAACATCATTAAACTTTGGCCTACTTTTTTAGCCATATCTATCGACGCTTTTTTTTTAAATAAAATTAAAAGTGTGGTGAAATTTCTACTTATACCTTAGATATATACAAAAGTAGTAATTTTACCTCACTTTTCATTTTATAAAAAAAACTCGTCAAGCGATTTTGCTAAAAAACTAGTCAATATTACCTATTTGTACAAAAAAAATGATATTTATTTATATTTTTGTTAAAAAGAATTACTTATTTTTTTCTTATTTTTTATGTATAGTGTAGAGTTGTTTTATTTAATCAAATAAATTCATTTGCATACTTTATTTCTCCTAAAATTCTCCAAAAAACCTCCTAAATTCCTAAATAAAATTTGTAATTTAACCGTGGGAGCCCTGCACTTGGAGATATTAACAAATTACATCCGACATATTCTGAAAAGTTGCCGTTAATTTTAAAGTGGGGGTGTGATGGTTCCACGAGTCAAGAATACAAACAGTTTAGCGAGAAAGACAGCAGTGAGGCCATTATCTTTTTTTACTTTAACTGTTCCTTTGCAGCTCTCTGCTGTCAATGAAAATCATGAAGATATTGTTGTTTGGCAAAATCCAAGGCCTTCCTCATCGCGATTTTGTAGACCGATTAGGTTACAATTTCTTGAAGAAAGTGTTAAAAGTACTCGCGAAGAGCAAAAATACATTGAACAGCAAATTCGTTCCCTTTTGCCATTCCATAATGTTCATGGAAAAAAAATTAAAATATAATATAAACTGGTTTTCACAACGATTGATGGGAAAATTAAAAATGTCATCACAGAAACAGTCTCGTCAATGCGATGTTGCATTTGCAAAGCGAAATCAAAGCAATTTAATGATATAAACCTAGTTTCAAAACAAAAAGTCGTTACTGAGAATCTATGTTTTGATATATCATCGTTGCATCCATGGATTCGGTTTATGGAGTGGTTTCTTCACTTAGCATACAAATGCGGTGATGAAACCGAAAAAAAGTGGCGAAAAATTCAAAACGATTTCAAGCAATTGTACGGTTTGCGAATCGATATCCCGAAAGCTGGTACTACTAATGACGGGAACACAGCTAGGCGTTTTTTTGAAGATGTATCGTCAACTGCAAACATTTTGGGGATGGACGAGGAATTAATAGCGAAAAGCAAGGTACTGTTGCAGGCAATTTCAAGCGGGTTTGGAATAGATACAGAAAAATTCAAAGTATACTGCTTAAATCTTGCAAAACGGTATGTGGAATTGTACCCTTGGCACCCAATGCCAACCTCAGTACATGTTATTCTCATCCATGGTTACGCTATAATTGAAGTATCTCCATTACCAATTGGACGGTTATCCGAAGATGCACAAGAAGCACGTGACAAAGACTTCAGACGTTCAAATTCAAATTCCAGAAAGACAATGGAAGATGTCTTTCACCGACTTCTTGCATCTTCGGATCCCCTCATTTCGAATTTACAAAATTATGAATTCAAAGCTGGCAAACATTTCAAGCCCGAAGTTTCTGATCTTTTAGTTAACACATCTGCCAAATTCAGAAATGATGGAGAAAGCGATAGCGCAGCTACTGATAACGACGAATGCTTGTCCGATTACGATTTTTAATAATTTGCACTTGTGTGTAATAGTTTTGTATTGCGTTGAATAAATATAATTTAAATCATTGAATAACTGTTTATTTTGTTTATCCATCTTAAATTCAATGTGTTTTCTAATCCTAATCCTTTCATAAACCAAAAAAATAATTATAAATTTATTTGAAAAATTTCGGCCATATTGGATACGCCATTTTGTTTTTGGAATAATGGATATCAAATTTGTTATCAGCTACCTCAAAAACCACAGGTTGCTAAATTTGAGCGAAATCGGAACATTTTTTTGAAAAAAATTCCTCCATATTGGATTCGCCATTTTGTTTTTCAAAAAATAAATATAAAATTCGCAATTAGCGACCTCAAAAACCACATGTTGTCAAATTTAAGCGATATCAATTTTTTTTTATAAAAACTTCTTCATTGCGAAAACACAATATCCAATTTTCGATCAGTTTATATAAGCTTATAAAGAATAATAAATCGAAATCAAGTACTACACCAAGTAGTTTTTCAGTTTTTACTTGCAACCTGTGTAATTCAAACTTTGCGAACAAAATTTGTTGAGGAAAACTACTGCTTTCCTCTCTTTTGTGAAAAAACGAATTATTTAATTATAAATGAAGTGCAGTTCGTATGCTTTAAATGTATTGTTGACAATTCTTGAATTCCATCGATGCTTTTTTAGAGTGTGTAAAAATAAAATAATTGTAAATATCCATATTTTTAGTAATTACAAACCGGTTCATTTTGAATCAAGGAAAAAGTAACCTCATACTGTTCAAAACAGCCTTATCAAACTTTTAAACTCCTACAAATATAAAACTTAACAACTTGTTGAAATTCCTAGGGCTTTTCTTAGATGAAATCATGAGTTGGAAAATTCACATTGAGCAGGTAGCTCATAAACTTAATTCTAATCTTTACTCTATTCAAGTTCTTAAAACTTATATATGTATGACAACTGATGTTCTAAAAATCATCTATTTGGCAAACTTTATACTGAGATATGGCATTATATTTTGGGGAAAGGGTAGTAATATTCAAGAAATTTTTATTATTCAAAAACGTGCAGTGAGGACCATCTTTGGTCTTAAGGTTAGCCAATCATGTAAAGGTATTTTTAAAACTCATAACATACTAACCACATTTGGGATTTATATTTATGAAATCACGACTAGTTTATTTGAACAAGGCTGCTATTACTTTGGTATAGACTTGTTCAATTGCTTACCTAATTCATTAAAACAAATTAAGAATTTAAGCACATTAAAAAAAAGATTTTTTGATTTTATTTGCAACATTGAGCCATATTCACTACGTGAATTTTGTGATTTCTGTAGACTGATAAATCTTAATTAATTTACATTTTTCTGTTTTTTATACATTTATATATATTAGACTGGGCCAAAAAAATCGACAATTTATTTTTGTTAAGTATATCGAAAATATTGTTTGGGGTGACAAAAAAAATTATGGTGAAAGTTTGAGTCTATAATATTAATATTAGGGGTCTAACGCAATTTTAGATTTTTTTCCTGGGCGAGTTTTTGTCTCAGATCTCCCAAACCATTGAGTTGAATGCTCTACAAAAAGGTTTTATTGGAATAACCCGCCAGATGAACCGTTTTCTTACAATCATGCCTTAAAAATTGGTATAGTTTTACAATTTGATCTTTTTATTTTGGAATTTTGTAATTCATGTAAAAATCAGTACCCGGAAAAAACCGATAGATATTCTTGTGGGAAATGAAATGCTGTACAAAAAAGCCTTCTAACATTTTTGGCTAAATTCACTCCATCAAAAGTTATTCAAGTCAAAACGAAATTATTTTTTTTTCCGCTCTACATTTTTGGGCCAGTTAGAAACTTGGATTCTTTTATCGTAAGTAATAACATAAGGGCATCTAATTTTTCCGCGAAAAAATCGAAAAAATAAGTTGCTAAGTAATATTTTAACAAGAAGCATGAGTGCTGGGGGCAACAAAAATCCGAGTCGAAGACGAGGATTTTTGCACCTGCACGAATGCATTTTGTTAAAAAATATTACTTAGCATTGTGTTTTTTCTATTTTTTTCACAGGAAAAATTAGATGCCCGAATGGTATTTGACAAGACTATTTCATGAGTAACAGTAACTGTTAACTGTTAACAATTAAAATATAAATTGCAATTTTTGGTGACAAAAGTTATTAGACATGGGACCCACATCAAATTTTATATGAGTTTATAATGACATTATATAGACAAGTTCTGCGCAAGCAGAATTTAAATTAAAGTTTGCGAAAAAAAGTTTGTTTTTAAGTACAACCCCCAGCCTCCTGCCCCTCCAAATTAAGATAATTCAAATTAAAGTGGTACAATATTTAACTCACTGAAGTTTATCGACAAATTTAAAATTTTATTAAAAATTCAAGAATTACAGGTTTTATACCATTTATAATTTTTTTAATTTAGTAAAAAAAAATAATAATACCAATTTTTAAGGCATGATTTTAAGGAAACGGTTCATCTGACGGAAAATTTCATTTAACCTTTTTTGTAGAGCATTTAATTTTCTTAAAAAAATATTTCCAAGTCAATTTTGTTAAACTTAATGGTTTGGGAGTTCTGAGACAAAAACTTACTGAGGAAAAAAAAATAAAATTGCGATATTGAAATGGACTCAAACTTTCACAATAATTTTTTTTGTTACCCCAAACCATATTTTCGATATACTTTTCAAAAAAATATGCACTGTAAATTATATTATTTTTGTGTGCAATCCATTATATAAAATAGATTTATTTAATTTAATTTAATTTATTTTATTAGAAAAATAATGTATGCAACTCGAATATAAATCGACTTGCACTATAAGGTTTTATTTTATAAAAGTTTCTCATACGTGCAAAAAAGTGTCGCTTTATATTCTTGTTGCATAAATTACTAGGTAGTTAATGTTAACATAAAAACTTTTTTTTACAGAAAGTCACAAGGAACAGAAGTTGTTGGAGTGTGACATTTGTCTTCGGAAATATCAAACAAAGGAGGGTTTATATCAACATAAAAAGTATGTCCATGAAATAGAAGAACAGGAACAATTTAAGTGTGAAAAATGCGAATATCAAAGTTCAAGAAAATGTCATTTAAACGATCATTTAAAAATTCACGACAAGACAAACTATTTAAAGTGCCAATTTTGCAAGTACATGGCTGCTCGATTGCGAACTTTAAATGCACACATATTAAGTAAGCATAAAATTGAAAGCAATGAAGGTGAACATAAAGTTAAAATAACAAGTAAAATACACACTTGCCCCAAGTGTTCCTATTCAACGGTTTTTAAAACAAGTTATGATAATCACGTGAAGGTTTGTTTGAAATTAAAAAATGTCAAATGCTACGAATGTGAAATTTGCCATTTCAGAACCATTCACAAAAGAAGTTTGAATAGTCATAAGAAAACTCACAATAAAATAAAGCAACTGACATGTTTATTTTGTCCACATAAAAGTAACGAAAAGAGAAATTTAGACAACCACATTTTAACTAAACATCCTGATTTGTTGAACGAATCTAATAAAAATGTAATCACTTCTAAAATACATGCTTGTCAACACTGTAATTACAAAACCGCAATTGTTAGTGATTTAAAAAGACATTTAAGTCACAATCATTAAATAATATTATATGTAATTTAAGAAGGTTCGGGCACGATATTAGTCTATGGCACGCCGTTTTAACATTTATTAAATAATTTTTTAATTTAAAATTTTATTGGTAATATTTCCAACTAAAAATTTTAGGTTTATATTTATAAATTTAAAATATTTTTAACTATCATGTATTGAAAATTTACTAGCAGTTAGTGTATTATGTGCTGGTTCAGGGCGTTATTTAATACAAGAGTTTAATAATAACATATGTTATTAATAATGTTACATATGGGTGATTCTACAAAAGTTGGACAACTTGATGTCATCAGTCAATATTTTTTGAAAATATTTATTTATCTTAAATTTTTTAACTTCCCTACAAACTATAAAACATTAAATAATGTATTTTTCATATTTTATCATAGATTCGAATAATAGCAATTTAAAAAAAAAAGAATTAATCTTTGTACTCACTTTTACCCGTCAGTTCTGTGTCCAATGTTAAAATTCAAAATTCCTGCGAAATATTGAAGTTTAAACGTCAAGTCCTCGTTTTAACTCAAGTGTTGGTAAAAAATTACCTACAGATCCCGCCCTTTGCACGACAGTCATCTTGAAAACAATGCAAATTTTTTAACTTCCCTACAAACTATAAAACATTAAATAATGTATTTTTCATATTTTATCATAGATTCGAATAATAGCAATTTAAAAAAAAAAGAATTAATCTTTGTACTCACTTTTACCCGTCAGTTCTGTGTCCAATGTTAAAATTCAAAATTCCTGCGAAATATTGAAGTTTAAACGTCAAGTCCTCGTTTTAACTCAAGTGTTGGTAAAAAATTACCTACAGATCCCGCCCTTTGCACGACAGTCATCTTGAAAACAATGCAAGTGGCGAAGTTGTGGTGAATGCACGTATAGTTCCAGTCAAAAGTTTAGTACTGTGGAGAGTACTATACAGTGCTTGCAAATCCAAGTCCGACCGCGTTGGGAAGGATGGTTGTTCAATACCCGCGTGAAAAGAATAAGGATAGAATGCCAAACATAATTTGATTGGTCAGAGCGTCAGGCGTGCGTATTGTAAGCGCCTTCTGTTTGGCGTTCTATCCTTGTTATTTTCACGCGTCCTTCCCAAACCGGTCGGACTTGGATTTGCAAGCACTGTATATACGTATATATAAAATAAAAAATATCACTAAAATACTTAATTCCGAATTATAATCTCAAATTTGTATCCCATTCATCAGTACCGTGTCGTCAGTTCAATGTTCGATGTTTCGGTTATCTTTTTTTTGCAAACTTGCGCAGAACTTGTTTATTTAATGTCATTATAAACTATAAATTTGGTGTGGGTCCCATATCTAATAGTTGAGATATCGGTATACCCAAAATCCACCAGCCGCCACTGATTGTGAGGTTGGTATATAAACAACAAGTGTAAAGTGTTAACTGGCTTTTATTTCAACTGCGCGGCCTTATACACATTGTTTCAGTTGTGCCAACCTGACATCTCCCCTTTTAACAAAAAACATTTAACAATTTAAAATTTAAATCTATCACAGTAACATTCCATAAACTAATATCACAAGACAAGGCATAATAATATATTTATGTAAAAGCACCTATACAATTAATATAATTTTTGTAAATTAATATATTTTGTACAATTTTTCTTTTTAATACTCTATTATTTTATTGTAACTACTATTGAGTTTTAACAAAGGCCTTAAATTAGTTTATTAGGAAATACATTATAATGCAACATAACAATAATACTCTATACACGGTGCTGTTCTGAGAGGTGATTTTTGGACTTTCTGTGAAACCTAATTTTTTTTATATTCTTGTTAATTAGGTCAACTAAAATTTTAAGAGCAAAATAAAAAAAATTTGACGGTTTAAATTGTTTTAATTGGCTGTTATTAAAAATATTATGCACTCTTTCAATTTTCCAATTAAAACTAGCGATTTAATTTAAATATTTAATATTTGCATAACTAAAAAAAAGGTTTTTACATTTTTTTTTATATATTTTACTGTTTTGTTGCAATAAACGTTCAAACTTTTAATCTAACCTTTGACCTATACATTTATGTTCCCTTAATAATTAATATATCCTTAAAGGTTGCCATGAAACTTAGATCTATTAAAAATTTATTTGATGTTTGAATTGTCATTTTCGGTTTACGTATTCTATAATTTTTGTTTAGTTTTTAAGTGTTTTTTATAAACAAAAATGAAAAATTGTAGTAAAAGTTACGAAGAAATTCATGAAATTTAACTAAGGACCGGTTTAAAGTTTATCGGGCCGATAACTCTCATGTCTTGGCAATATCTAGTATCCAAAGAAATTATTCGTCAAATAAATCAAAAATGAATAAATCGGCCCTAAATAAAATGTGGCACCCTTTGAATTATGGTTTAATAAATGTATACTATACATTTAACCTTAAATTAAAACTTTAAACGTGTATTACAACAAAACAGTAAAAGATAAAAAAAGTATAGACCTTTTTTAGGAAATTAACTAATCTTTAATCTGATTTAAAAACGTTATGATAATATTTAAATAAAATCGCAAGTTTTAATTGGAGAATAGAAAGTGTGCATACATATTTTTAATAAACATCCAATTAAAACAAAATTAACCGTCAAATTTTTTTTATTTTGTTCTTAAAATTTTAGTCATGACCTAATTAACAAGAATATAAAAAAAAATTGGGTTTCACAGAAAGTCCAAAAATCACCTCTCAGAACAGCACCGTGTATAGTGTATATATATATAATGATTTATGTAATCATTAAATTTTGAAGGATTTTTGCCTATTCTTCCACTTCTCTATTGTAATCAGTTTTATTTTTCAGACAATTTTCTGAAATTAAGGTATCACTTTTAAATTGAACTTCTTTTTGTGTTACTGGATTTTTTTCAGAATAACCCAAGCTAAAGGTAGATGGGGCACTCAACGCAAAAATTCCTCATTTTCTAAGAAATGTTGACCAGGCAAAATATTCACATTTTTTGTCGAGTTACCATCTCCTACATTAGAAGATCTGTCATTTTCGTGTGATAACTTATCACTTACATGTGAAACGTTATCACTACAAACTTTTATATATTTTTTCTCTAAAAAGTTAAATTTAGGGCTTGAAAAGGAATCAGATTTTTTATTTTTATTTATACGAATTTCCTTATTTTTAGCTACTTTCAAAAATCTTCTATTTCTAAGTAAAATTGATCCATTTTCAGCCTTAATTTTATACGACCTTAATCCTACTTTATACAATATAATAGCCTTTTCCCATTCACCACCTAGTTCTCTTTGAAAATAGATTAAGGTATTATTTTTAAGGGGTTCAAGGGGTTTTACACCTTTATTGTCATAGTAATATTTTTGGTTTACCTTTGATTTATTTAAAAAGTCGTCATATTTATTTTTATTACATATTTTACTTTTATAAAAAGACTGTTGATTGGGAAGAAGGTCTCTTAAATTTCTTCTCATTAGTATATTTGCTGGAGAGTATTCTCCATTTAGGGGGGTGTTTCTATAATTTAGCATAGCTAAATATATATCAGAATTGTCATGGTAACATTTTTTTTTATATTTTTAATAGTTTGTACCATAGAAAAAGAATATAAGAAGGGCGACCACTGTGTTAAACTTAAGAAACACAAACGTCATAAACGCCTGCCAATTAGGGCCGTACTCCAAATATTTTATTAACTTTTATACTACAGGGCCGGCTTTATCTATTTTGTATATATTAATAATTATAATATTAATTTATTTAAATTTGACCAATAAAATAAAATAGTAGCAAAGATTTATTTATTTTTAAAAGTAAATGGTTATAATACACTAATTTTAACAATAAAATAAATTAAAGAATATACAAACAGTGCATCTGTATTTTGAATGGGTTCAGAAGTGAAAGAAGGTATAAAATTTCCCTCCTGCATCGGTTTTGGCCCAAAAAAACATACATGACTGGGTCTTCGAGGTTAAATTGTATTAAAACACCACTTTACACTATCACAGTTTTTATTGTTGTTAATTTGAATGATTAACAAGACAGAAATAAATATTAACGAACAAACAAAATTAAGTGTCAAAAAGGCTTCTGCATTAAGTTAGCAGCATCTTAGTTACTAAAGTTTTGCCAACTGTTTAGACATAAAAACAATGCGTTCTGGTTGCCTAATGTCAGGACCACAGGCAACTACACATGTATTAAAAAAATTTTGATGTCCATTAATGCAATACATTTTTTAACAATAGTAAAAATTTCAATAACTTCTTCCACCAGGGACATCAGTACGCTGGAAATTACTTTCAAACAACAATAGTCCCTATTAAAGCAAATGTTCCAATATTATTAAGTAGTATTGGTTTTTGCAAAAAAAAAACTAATCGTAATAAATTACATACAAATTAATTATTTAATAGGTATGTCAATCTCCAAAAAAAAAACATTATAAAAGCAACTGATTTATTGTATATACTTACTGTAACTTCAAGGGAAACCAATACAGATGAAAAAACTCAAAAAATACTTAAAAGCTTAGAAATAGATCTTTACCGTTATCGATATTCTTTCTATTGTTGACAGATGTCAAAACTGACAATTAAAATAATTAATAAAAAAGATATCTAGTCATATGACTTAAGCCACAAAAAGAAAATATGGCAACGTTGCTCGGGAGGCGCTTGTTGCGCATATTCGTATATTAGTTTCACCCCCCTGGTTTGTACCGACCGTTCAATTTGACCATTAGATTGATATCTTGGAGATGACTTTTTATGGTCAAACTCCCACTCAGAGGCAAACCTTCTAAACAGGTTACTGAAAAATATCTGCTGAAGCTTTGTACCATGGCAACTTAACAATTTCGTGAGGTATCATGGGCTCTTTTTGATTGGTTTTTCGAAATCTTTGACATATCTCACAGGCCAATATCATATCCTGTATGTGTTTTTTCATACCAGGCCAATAAAATGAATTGCTAGCTTTTTCTATTGTCTTTCTAACACCTAAGTGGCCAAAATGAAGTTTTTTTAATATTTCTTTTCTTAATAAAGTAGGAACTATCATTTTTTGATTTTTATATACTATTTCATCGGCTACAAAAATTCCTGACCTAAATTTATAATAAAATTTTGCTATATCCGGTACATCCTTTATTTCACTTGGCCAACCATTTCCTACTAATCTTTTTAAGGTTTTTAATTCTACGTCATTTTTATTTAAATTTTTTATTTCTTCAAATTTTTTAGTATATATTTATATTCATATTTATCAGACAAATCTGGGCATTAAGTTCCATATCAAACTTGTCTTGAAAGGTTTTAGCTTCATAGGCTCTACTAAGGAAATCAGAAACTATTAACTCTTTTCCCGGTTTAAAAATTAATTTAAAATCATATTTACGAAGTTGAAGAAGAATTCTCTGCAATCTAGGTGGACATTCATTTAAAGGTTTATCTATTATGTGCACTAAGGGACGGTGATCTGTGAAAAAATATATTGGTGAAATTTTGTTATTCCAAACCAAATTGCTAAGACTTCCTTTTCTATTTGTGAGTAACGTTTTTGTGCAGGAGTTAAACTTGCAGATGCATAGGCACAGGGCCTATTTTTCTGCATCAATGCTGCACCAATCCCGTCTTTTGAAGCATCTACAGTGATAGTTGTTTTTTCGTTTAAATCAAAATTTTTTAAATATGGAGCCTTACAAATTAATACTTTCAAATCATTAAAAACTTTATTACATTCTTCATCCCAAATAAACTCAACATTTTTTCTTAATAAACCTCTCAATTTTGCAGTTCTGTCTGACAAATTTTCCACAAATTTTCCTACATAGATAATTAAACCAAGAAATCGTTGTAAATCTTTTTTATCTTCTGGTACGAGCATATTTTTAATAGCAGTAATTTTTGAACTATCAGGAGCTAGTCCCTTATTTGATATGGAATGTCCCATATACAGTACTTCATTTTTTAAAAATTGCTTTTTTAAATACACGTTCTAAACGTGCATTGTGTTCTGATACTGTTTTTCCAGAAACAATTATGTCATCAATATAAATTTTAACACCTTCGATATCAGAAAATATATTATGCATTCGTTCTTGAAAAACCTCTGGAGCACTGGATATACCATAGGGAAGTCTACAAAATTTAAATCTTCCAAAGGGCGTAACAAAAGTGCAAAGTTTGGAGCTTTCTTTATCAAGCTTTATTTGTAAGAATCCTTGAGTAGCATCTAGGGTACTGAAATATTTAGCACCTGATAAATCTATAGTTAATTCCTCAAGAGTGGGAATTCTAAAGTAATGCCTTTTGATAGCTTTATTTAAATCTTTAGGATCTAAAGCTATTCTTATAGACCCGTTAGGTTTTTTTACAATTACTATATTATTTATCCACTCTGAACCTTCATTAACCCTTTCAATAATTTTATTTTTTAATAAATTATCCAGTGCTTCCTTAAGTTTTTCTTGCACATTAAAAGGTATTTTTCTACAAAAGTTTACAACAGGCTCTACATCTTTTTTTTTTAACTCTATATGATATGGCTCTTTTAGTTCGCCTATACCAGAAAATAAAAAATTATATTTATTTAGTAATTTATCCAAGTTTTCTTTACTATTGACTTGATTATCCAGAGCATGTACTTTTTGAATTAAATTCAAATCTAAACCGCTTTTAAGTCCCAAAATAGGACTGCTCTCAAAGGAGACCACATGAAATAAAAGATGATTTTCAATATTTTTATATGTACATTTTAAGATACATGTACCTAAGAGTGGCAATTCATTTTTTGTATACGAGGTTAACCTAGTTTCTGTTTTATTTAATTTATTTAAATCAAAATTAATGAGTTTAAGAACACTTACAGGAATAACATTGGCATCTGAACTCAATCAGTTGATTCTCTAGTTGAATCGAAGTCACCCATGACACCTCATCGATAGTGTTAACCTGCCCTGCACCATGCCTCTGCTCTGACTCAGTTTCTATGCTACCAATAAACAAAAAATCATCATTAGTTTCATTTTTAACTACATTTATAAATTTTTTCTTTTTAAAACCTTTTTTAACAAATGTGTGATCTCTTTTATTAAAATTATTACACCTTTTAAAGTTAGACTGACAGTTAAAATCTTTAGATATAAAATAAAAGACATAAAATTATTAGACTTAGACAAATTTGAAACTTTAAAATTATCGTTATCCACTTTACAACAAACAGCAAAATGATTGTTTAGTCCACATTTTCCGTATTTTTTCCCATATGCTGGACACTTTCCATAGGGATGCTGCTTCCTACATCTTCCACAAGCTTTCGACTGGCCTCTCTGTGCATTATACTTCAACTGGGGCAGATTACCTTCTTTTCTTGAATACTTTTCACCAACCTTGATCTTATCTACATTTAAGTCGTGATTTCTTCCATTAGTATTTTCCTTACTCCTTCTACGCTTATACAGAATTTTATTGTCTCTTTTAGATTAAATTCATTTTGTAGCAATTTTTCTCTCAAGATGTCATCTTTTACTCCACAAATAATTATATACCTGGTTAACTCATCCTTTAATGTTCCCAACTCACAAGACAATGCGAGATTCTTTAAATCAGTTATAAATTGTTCCGTTGTTTCAAAGGATTGTCTATGAGACAAGAAAAGGTGTCTTTGATAAGTAAGATTCTTTTTTGGCACAAAATGTTCTTCAAATTTAACAATCAAAGGCTTTATTTTATCCTTTTCTTCTGACGAAAAGTTAAAGGTATTACAAATTCGCATGCCTTCATCTCCTATTAATGCGAGTAGTTGATTCGTCTTTCTTGCAGATTTCTGTCGCCTGGAGGTAATTTATAAACTTTTGTTTCCAAAAGGTCCAATTTTCAGAGCAATTGCCTTCCATTTTCATCGGTTGAATACCTCTAAGATCCATTTTTCTTCAAAAATTGTTGAAAACCCAAGATGGAGAAATTTTTTGTGCGAGTTCTAACCTCGAAAATGCAAAAATTGTCGGTTATTAATCGTGTTCACAGCGCCATGTGAGGTTGGTATATAAACAACAAGTGTAAAGTGGTAACTGGCGCTAGCGCTGTAATGAGTATATTGCGCATGCGTATTATCAAAATTCATGAGGGATAAATGAAAAACTTTTTTGTATCATTATTTATATTTAACATAATTAATTAATTGAGATGATAATATGTTAACAATTATAAATAATTATTAATATATTATCATCAATTTACACAAACAATATTGTTAATAATTAAACATATGATTTTTTTCACTTTTATGTACGAGTTTTTACCAGCATTTACTGTTTTTCACAATAGTAAATGCTGATAAAAACTCGTAGATAAAAATGAAAAAAACCGCTCTAATAAAGATTCCTATATATTTTTTATAGCTATGATCCGCAACCTAGTGTATTAAAAATCACTTTCTTTCTCGCTTTCTAATTCACTTTTATCGTCTATCTATTGTCTCCGCTTCCAAACTCGGAAAATGAATAATCTTTGGTGACGCCAAGTTTTTGTTTAAGCTCGTTGATTTGCGCCGCAATTTCATCTTCGGTCTCCAATCCCGGCAACAACTTATTTTGTTCCTTCAAATTTTTTCTCCTTTGCTTGGTCGCCCTTAAAATTTCCTTGATATCATTTTTGTAAGCAACTTTATCCCTCGGCCCTTCAAAAGGACACTTTTTCGAAGCGACTGAAATCGGAAAGAGTTTGATTGGTATGTTGTTTTGCATTGGCAAATTTTTTTCGAAACTGGTGCATACTTACGATACAAAATTTTGCATATTTTGGTCATTCGAAACTCGATTTTCCCTTTCGAACCATCCCATGTGAATTGAGATGCGACGAACTCATCCGTCATCACTTGTCTCATTGAACAGCTCAGAAATTCTCTGGCTGTCGAACCTCCTAGGCTTGTGAAATGCTTGAACTGCAATACAAAAATCCAAATGTAAACATCCACGGATATATGCATATTTAGTACATTTTATTTCATCTATAGATATATCATTAAAAATAATTCATTCAAAATGGATTTATTGCAATCTGAAACAATTATTGTTTGGTGGGTTGGATCCTTTCTGCATAAATGGGTCCGTATATATTAATTATAAATAACAATAAATGTCATCGCACCTGCCACGCACAAATTTTAAAACATGTGACTTTACTGTGAATGTGTATACGAACGCACGTGTGCGATATGCGAAAATGGTCTCATCGCGTTACTTGATTTTGAATGCGTAATAGCGCGCACGCGTGAGACCGCACGTCATGCGTTTTTCGTGCGACGCACTATTGCTATCTGGGTACATTGTTTCAGTTGTGCCAACCTGACACTGATGTATGGTATTATTTGATTTTAAGATATTTAATGTATAATATGCCCAAAGTTGAAATAAATCTTATATTTTCCAATAAATTATATATTTAATTAGTACCCTGGTATACTCGTCACTTCCCTTGCATTCAAATTTAGAAAACACATTTATTTCAGAAACTGTTTGAAAAAGTGACTACCGAAAACTATATAAACAAAACGAGGTCAAAAGTTGCCCAACTTTTGTAGAATCACCCATATGTATTAATAATGTTAAACTGCACAAAAATAATAATATTAAACAAAAATCTACTTTAGTTAGATTTTATTAAAAAAAGCCTCCTGGCCAAATATTTATAACAAACTTATTACATAAAAAACTTTAAAAAAATAAACTTCTTGAACATAAAAAAATAATAGGTACTTCATACTAAAAATATAACAAAAATATATAACATATTAAAAAAAGTAAAATCCCCTTTTCACAGCCTTTTGTGATACAACTTCTTGACTAAACAAAATATAGGTATTATATATTAAGACTAATATTCATCAGACTTATTGGTCTCCTTGGTTTTCAAGGAATAATAAACGCTTACCAGTTTTTTGGACCGATCCCCTGTTAATCTGTTTCGTATTTGGGAATCTACATACGACCAATTTCAAAATACTCTTTCAAGTTGTGCTGATGAAGCAGGTATTTTAAGAAGCTTGATAATAGCAAAACTGGCAAGTTCTTTGCAATGATTTTGCAAACTTTCCCAAAAGGTCATTGAAGCTAAATTTTCTTTTTTTAAAAGAACCCCAAAAATGCCAACACATGATTTAAATTGGTTAAGACTTCCATGTCCACTCAAATTTTTATATAGATAATATTCAACAGCTTTTATCTGATCTTCGTTTAAACTGTGGCCCCTAAATGTAGGATGTAAGTAATTTGCTGCTAAAGCATGATTGGTAAAGACTTTCTATTAATTTTCCTTTATATTCCTCCGGAACTTCTAATGTCACCCACATTTCTGCCTCAACTAAGCTGCAGTCACGTTGTTGACATTTATTTACCAAATTGCAAATTTTTTATTAAAAAAATCCTATGATAATCAATTACTTCTTGGTTTTTAATGTGATCAAGCATAGCAGAACTTGAAAACACCGAATGTGTACATTATATAAAATTTTATTATTTAAATACATGGTGGTATTTTTTAATTTAAATTGATTAGATATTTGTCTTATGAATTTTTCGCTTTCTCAACATATCTTAACTACATCTTTACTTGGTATTATAAAATTTTCTGAATATTTTTTAATTTCAATAAAATCGTATTTTTCGTTTGACACTAAACATTTTATACAATCTTCATAACGAAGCGTTTTTAAAATTTTTGATACAACATATATATATATATATTCAATCACATTTTCCATAAATTCAGATAATGTCCAGGCTGTACTTATGTAATCATGGGATAGTATTGTGCATGGTTCTTCCACTTCTTAAACATCAATGGTCTCTTTAACATGTTTGGAAGAAACATGCAAAATATCTATCCCATTTAATAAGCAATGTCCAGTTTCAATCTGCTTTAGCTCCATTCTTAGTATCAACTTTTTGTAAGCAGATTGAAACTGTAGACTGTTAAGGTTGTTATTGAATCCCCCTGGCACAAATTGCAGAAAAAAAAGTTTCTAAATAATCCTGGTTTACTTTATATGTCAGTAAATACTGTAAACCAAGATTATTTAGATCCAGAAATAGTTTAAAAATAATTTGTAGATCAATAATAATGCCTAAAAAAACAATTTTTCGTGGTGATTGAATCAGTTAATTTCCTTATAATATATTATATTCTTCTGCTAAATTTGAAGAACCATAACATTTTCATTATTCAATGGAATTTTACATCCAGTTTCCGAAAATTTATTTTTGCAACACATCCATGATGTCATTTGCAAATCACAATAATTTGTATTTTGAAAATCACAATAATTTGTATTTTTTTAAAATATTAAGGATTTTGACACGCTGGATGACAAAGTCTGACACGCAATTTTAACATTCATTCTGAGATTGTCAAAATATATGTGCTTTTTTGTCGATTTGTTGGCCAGTCGGAGACCTTCTTGAATTTGTATATTAAAATATACTCCCATTTAATGAATTCGTCGTTATATTTCAGGCATTTTTTTGTCACCAAACGTGTTTCGGACAAGTTTCATCATTTGACATATATCAAAAAAGGTATATATATACGAGGTGTGTTCAGAAAATAACGGCAATTGTTAAATTTCGCGGGTTCGGAGGGTCCGGTTGTCATAAAATTTTCTTTATTATGTTGGTATACATGCCTCCGAAGTATGATAAAAACTTTAGCTGTTTACATTGTTTAGACGTGTTTTATGAGCTCGGCGATTTTTCATTCGTTAAAAGAAATGGATTAAAGAATTTGTATCCAATTTTGCTTAAAAAATTAAATAAAATCTGTGAAATGTTAACAAAGGCCTATAGTGAGTCTGCTATAAGTAAAACAAGAGTTTACAAGTGGTATAAGAGTTTCCAAGATGGCCGTGAAGACGTTGAAGATGACGAACGCCCCGAACGCGTGTCAGCAAAATTTGTTCTAAAATTGTTAAATTTTGAACAAAATTTTTGGCCAAAAACAATACTGTAATGATGCCCCAGCCTCCATATTCGCCAGACATGCATCTGTCTGACTTTTTCCTATTCCGAAAAATAAAGAGAACCTTAAAGGGCCGTCGTTTTGCAAGCATAGATGACATTAAAAGCGCATCGCTGAAAGAACTAAAGGCTATCCCAAAGATCGAGTTTTAGAAGTGTTTCGAGTATTGGAAGAAGAGCTGACACATGTGCATAATATCCAATGGGGACTATTTTGAAGGCGACGACATTAATGTAGACGAATAAATAAATATTTGTTTCAAAAAACGAAAATTCCCGATATTTTCTGAACACCTCGTATATATATAATTTGGAATGCCTAATTATGTGCACATTTTAATATTGCAAGGGGCACCATCAAATGTTATGGAATGTACCATTGCCCTAGTTTGATTTACTAGCTCAATGCACTGAATTAGAAGCGTGGATCTTTGCTTTTCAGACAATCCTGAAATAAGGTAGCATCCTACTGGAATCTTCCAATGGTCATTTACAGGTACTGCTCATAACCAACTCATATTTTTCCAATGGCACATTATCAATATCAAATGACTCAACTGATCCGAACTCAACCCCCCCATCAAATCTATTATTGTTGTATACTAACTGTTCTCTAATAGACATTTTGTCTATGACAATATTAATAAAGGTTTTCCTTTCTGCCACTTTCATTTTTATGGCATTTAATTCTTTATCTGTGAATCCTGGAACAGCGTTTATAACTCTATACCATTAAGGCAGTAAATTTTTCCAGGCAGAACATATGTATAAGCTCTTGGAGTATAAAAGTGGAGGGTAAGGGCAAAGCTTCTTAATTTTTCAGAGTACTTCTTGCTTCCTTTCAATTGTTTTTTCATTGCCTCTTGTAAGCTATCAGGTAATACTCAGCAACTTGATTATTTTGTTTTAACAAAACACAATGAATATGTTTGAATATCATGTATTTAATTTGATAATCCAAACATGTGTATTCAAATGCATGCCAACATATATTGCAATAGGAACATTTTGACGTACAACATAGTGTAACATCACTTTTTTTAGTGACTAAATGATCCTCCTGAATATAATTATTATTGACAATAAAGCAATTATCTTCTCTGATCATCTTAAAATCACTGCTTAATGCACTACGATGTCTTTTTCTAATATATTCAACTTTTTTTGAATATTTTCAAATATTCGATCTTTTCTTGAAAAAAAACTACATTTTTGGAGTTTTATGGTAAGCGCTGCTTCCTGGATCTTCAGAAAAACTGCCTCCAACGTCTTGAGGTGCTCATTATCGTCTTTTCCAGTTATTATAATATAGTCCAAAAAATTGTCATTATATTATCCATACATGGCATGCCTTGATAAAGCCTTGATAAAGCTAACTCCAAATGGTAACCTACCTGTGCCAGTAAATACTTCTATATTTTCCTTTATAAAATTTTCTTTGATCATGTCATTACACTTTACGTTATTAATTGTTTTAATTTAATTTAGATGTAAAAAAGTATGACCTCCCACTAGAACCTGATTTGCACCATCAACAATAACAAAATTTTCATATATACTCTTATTCTTATACTTAATGTTTGGATTTACTGTTCCAACAGGCTTAGACACGGTCCCCTCGAATGCCTTTAGTACACTGTTCAAAATTTCATGACCATTTTAACACCAAATTAACACCATATGTGGTCTATATCGATACAAACCAAAATGGTGTTAAATAGGGTTCGTTGGTCCGGTGTAAATTCAAATACTAAAATGGTGTTAATTTAACTTTCACACAGTTTTAAAATAAATTTTACCTGGTGTAAATTGAACTCCTTTTCAGTGTTAAATATTATGTGTTTGTGGTCAAATTAAATCATACTACACAGAA